GGCACCACCAGGCACTATACTAAGTACTAGGGATAGAAACACAAATTTCACACTGCCCTCAAGGAAAAGCTTGAAATGGCAGACATTTAGCCTGAATAAAATCATGAAGGGAAAAGTCACACAAATCAAAAGGCAACTGATCTAAACTCTTCAAAAATGGAAACTCTCATGAAAAACATAAGCAAACTGTTCCTGATTTAAAGGGACCAGTGACACAACTAAATGCTTTACATGATCTTTAACTTCAAAGGAGAGATATGGAGAAGGGGCCAAGAGTTCAAAGGGCATTATTAGGCAACAGGAAAAACACGATATTAAATTTCTGGAGAGTGATAATGATGTTGTGGTTATTGCGATTTCCCTGTTCTTAGAGGATGCATATTGCTACATTTAGGAGTTAAGACATGATGATTACAACTTAGCAAAAAGTTGCTTTTTTTTTTTTTGAGATGGATTCTCACTCTGGTCACCCAGGCTGGAGTGCAATGTTGTGATCTCAGCTCACTGCCACCTCTGCCTCCCAGGCTCAAGCAATTCTGCTGCCTCAGCCTCCCAAGTAGGTCAAATTACAGGCGCTTGCCACCATGCCTGGCTAATTCTTTGCATTTTTAGTAAAGATGGGTTTTCACTACATTGGCCAGGCTGGTTGTGAACTACTGACCTCAGGTGATCCACCTGCCTCAGCCTCCCAAAGTGCTGCGATTACAGGCATGAGCCACTGCACCCAGCTAAAAAGACATTTTATATAAAGCAATAATATGCATATATCTTTTTCTTGAACATATTTAAATTTATGTACATGAAAAAGAGAAATAAGACAAACGTAGCAAAATGCTAAAACTGGTGAAGCCATGGGTGTTCTTTTACCTTTTACGTAGGTTTCTTATTTGGGGTTTATTTTTTGTTTTTTTGGGAGACAGGGTCTTGCTCTATTTACCAGGCTGGAGTGCCATGGCATGATCACAACTAACTGCAGCCTTAACTTCCTAGGCTCAAGCAGTCCTCCCACAACAGCCTCAAGTAGTCAGAATCACAGGCACATGTCACATGCCCAGCTAAGTTTATGATTTTTAGTAGAAACAAGGTCTTGCTATGTTGCCCAGGGTGGTCTCAAACTCTTGAGCTCAAGGGATCCTTTTCCACTTTGACCTCCCAAAGTGCTGGGATTACAGGTGTCAGCCACTGTGCCCAGCCCCAAATTTTTAAGATAGCTAGATAAAAAGCAAGACATCACTATGAATAAATCCAATCTAAATACAAATTAAATAATAAATTTATTAAAAATACAAATAGCCCTAAAGTTAAACAGCTCAATAGCAAAAGATAAAATAAAATACAGTACTACCTGTAAAGCTAAAATTTATTAGCTATTGTGAACTGAAAGTCAAATAACCACTAAAAACTTCATCTTAACCTAGGATGGATATAAGTAAATCATAAATCCTTAAAACAGATTTTATTCCTTAAAACAGAAGTGTTAATTTGATCTTAATCCTACAAAACATACATTTCAACGAGCTGAAACTAAAATAAATAGAATTTAGTAAGTGGATTTTATATGTGTGTGTGTATTTTTTTTTTTGAGACAGGGTCTTGCTGTGACACCCAGGCTGCAGCACAGTGTTGCAGTATCGGCTCACTGCAACCTCCACCTCCCAGGGCTCAAGTGATTCTCATGTTTCAGCCTCCAGAATAGCTGGGATTACAGGCGTGAGCCACCAGACCTGGTTAATTTTTGTATTAAAAATTAACTACTCTCTTTTAGAAGAGATGGGGTTTCACCACATTGGCCAGGCTGGTCTTGAACGCCTGACCTCAACTGATCTGCCTGCCTCAACCTCCCAAAGCGCTTAGATAACAGGCGTAAGTAAACACAACTTTGTGTGTGTGGTGTCTGTGTGTAGACAGACACCTGGTTAATTAGCTTGCCAAAGTTAACTGTTAATTGTGCCAATAAGTCCTAAAATTTAGGAAGGATTACTTCTGGATACTCACATCACTAAGACAAAGAATGACTTTAGAGCTAAGCGCTGTGGAATATGATTAATATATATTTGTTGACATTGCTGCACTAACTTGGTGGGTCTTATTCATAAAGATTTTTCCCCAATTCTTATGAGAAGTATTATTTGAATATGACAGTATTCAGTGTTTACTGAAAGTCCTATATTTGATAAGACCATTTAAAATTTATCCTCATGTGATTCTCTTTTGTAATTATAAAACAAAGATATGCTCATTCTAAAATTTCAAGGGCTGATTTTTCTCTCCTTCTGAGGTAAGAACTTAACATTTTATAATATATCTCCCATACTTTTCTCGATGAATATCAAACTAAACACACTAAACAAGACTACTTAGCCTTGTTAATAATTTCAACATATATATAAATGTGATATAGCACATTAACAAAATAAAGGGAAAAAATCTCTCAATGACTACAGAGAAAGCATTTGACAAAATTCTACGTCCTTTCATAATAAACTCTCAACAAATCAGGTATAAATGCAAAGCACCTCAACACCATAAAGGCCATATGTGACAAACCCACAGCTCACATCATATTTAACAATGAAACGTTGAAAGCTAGCCAGGTGCTGTGGCTCACACCTGTAATCCCAGCACTTTGGGAGGCCGAGGCGGGCGAATCATGAGGTCAAGAGATCAAGACCATCCTGGCCAACATGGTGAAACCCCATCTCCATTAAAAAAAAAAAAATGGTTGAAAGCTTTTCCTCTAAAATCTGGGACAAGGCAAGGATGCCTATTCCCGCCACTTCTTTTCAATGTTGTACTTAAGTTCTACCTAGAGAAAGAAATAAAAGGATTCCAAATTTGAATAGGAGAAACTGGATTGTCCCTATTTGCAGACAACAGAATGTTATATATATAAAACCCTAAAGACTCCAACAAACTGTTAGAATAAATTCAGTAAAGTTGCAAAATACAAAATCAACATACGAAAATCAGTTGCATTTTTATATACTAACAACAAACTATATGAAAAGGATATTAAGAAAACAATCCCATTTATAATAGCTACCGAAAAAATAAAATACTTAGAAATAAATTTAACAAAGAGGTAAAAGACATACCCACTCAAAACTATAGAACATTTGATGAAAAAAAAATTGAAGCAGGACAATAAATGGAAATATATCCTTTGTTCATGGACTTGAAAATCAATATTGTAAAATGTCCACACTACCCAAAGTGGTCTACAGATTCAACCCAATCCCTATCAAAATTCCAATGATATTTTTCACAGAAAAAAAAAAAAAATCCTACGATTCATATGGAGCCACAAAAGACTGAATATCCAAAGTAATGGTGAACAAAAAGAACTAAACTGCAGGCATCACACCTGACTTCAAAATATGCTATGAAGCAATCGTAATCAAAGCAACATAGTAAGGACAGGAAAACAGACACAGACCAATGGAAAAGAATAGAAAGCCCAAAAATAAATCCATGCATTTTGTCAATTTTTGACAAAGGTGCCAGGAATACACAATGGGTAAAGGGCAGTCTCCTCAATAAAGTGTGTTAGGACAACTGGACACCCACATGCAGAAGAATGAAATTAAACCCTTATCTTATACCATATAGAAAATCAACTCAAAACAGATAAAGACTTAACTATAACACCTGAAACTATAAAACTACTAGAAGAAAATATAGAAGAAAAGCTCCATGACATTCTAAAGCTTGGCAATGGCTTGAGCAATGATTTTTTAAAAATATGACCCCCAAAACATGGGCAAAAAAAGCAAAAACAGACAAATGGGATCACATCACACAAAACAGCTCCTGTACAGCCAAAGAAGAAATAGCCTATGGAGTGGGAGAAAATGTTTGCAAGCTATACATCTGATAAGGTGTTAGTATTCAAAATATAAGGAACTCAAAAATCTCAATAACAAAAAAACAAGTAGCCTGATTTAAAAATTGGCAAGTGACCTGAATAGGTAGTTCTCAACAGAAGACACAAATGACCAACAGATATATAAAAAATGTTCAACATCATTAATCATCAGGGAAATGCAAATTAAATCTACAGTGAGATAGGATCTCACATCTGTTAGAATGAGTAAAAAAGACAAAAGGCAAGTGCTGATGAGGATATGGAGAAAAGAGAATGCTTGCACAAAGTTGCTGGGGATGTAAATTAGTATAGCCATTATGGAAAACAGTTTGGGGGTGCCTCAAAAAAATGAGAACTACCACAAGATCCAGCAATCCCACTACTGAATATATAAAGGGAATAAAATAAGTATGTTGAAGAAATATTTATAATCCCATGTTTATTTTAGCACTATTCACAATAACCAAGATAAGAAATCAACCTGTGTCCATCAACGGATGAATGAATAAAAAAATTTTTTTACATGATGGAGTACTATTCAGCCTTTAAAAAGAAGAAAACTCTGTTAATTTGCAATAACATAGGGAAACCTGGAGGGTATTATGTTAAGTAAAACAGGCTAGGGACAGAAAAAAAAAATACCACATAAGCTCACTTACAAACGGAATTTTGCAGAGGCAAAATATCACGGTGGTTACCAGGGGCTGGGGATGGGGAAGCAGGGATGGAGGATTGGAATATGTTGTTCAAAGGATATAAAATTTCAATTTGACAGGAGAAATGAGTACAAGAGATCTATCCTGCAACATGATGACCACAATTAAAAATGCAAATGAAAAACCCTTACATTTACTCTCCACATGCTTTAAGCTATCATGAATTTTATATGTACATAAAAGAATTCCAAGCCAAGGTTGTAACATTTAATTTTACTGTATTTGATACAAAACGGGTTGCAAAACGTTTAAAGTGGGGCAAATGTCTTTAAATAAAACAAACGTATTCTTAGATGAGTTTAGTATTAATACATTAGATTTAACTTATTTTTATATTTTTACTTTTGGAAAACACAATAGAAATTTTAGTAATGAAACATGTTCCCAAATATAGAAAATTATGGGCAAAAAAACCTTACCATTCTTGCTGACATCCAGTTCCCTGAGATTAATAAGGTTCGCAATGGATGCTGGTAACGTTGTTAAATCATTGTCTGGCAAACTCAGTTTGTGTAAAGACTGACAGTTAAAAAGTTGCTATTGGAAAAAGGGAAGAAAGAATGTCAATTATATATATATATATATACATATATATATATATATATATCTCCTTAAATATTTAATGTACTTTTATACACATTAATAAAATTAGCCATATTAAAACTGAGTGAGTTATAACATCTACACTAATACCAGGAAAGATGTCTCATTATTCTGATTATGCTATTATGGATATGAATACAACTGAACCATTCAGATTAATTTATATCTTCATACTTCTACCTTAAGTAAAACCCACTTAGTGAGAGTAAGTATATGGCTATATCCTCTGTTGAGTTAGTAACAAAAAAAGTGGCTATTAAATGTGATAAACTCTGGAGTTGGTTTCAAGCAACCTTATTCTGAAATGAAAGCCCTATTTGAGAAGAGTATTCTTCTAAAAATGTTAAAGTATTAGCAATGATAAGACAAAAATGATTCAGTTATTTGCACTGTTACAGCAAGACTTTCTCTTTTCAACAAAACTCCTAAACCAAGACTCTACTGGCGGTGATTAGAGAAGGAGACCAATTTTGGTCTTCCATATTCTCTAGAACTGGCTAAGGAAGATAAATTGCCTGCTGAAAAACAACATATAAGGAAGAACAGTAAATTACCCTACCACAACCTAGGTTTCTAGTTCATAAACATATGACCAACAACCGTTAATTTTTATCCAAAGCCATATAAAAATTTCTCTATAAGATAACCCTTAGGATAGCAGTGGCTTTCAAAATGTGCTTACTACTTGACCACCAGAAAAAAGCTTGTTGCACACAGTATGTATACACACACAAATCTAAAATATTTTCATGAAACAATGGCTATATATAACACACTCTATTTCCTATTTTTTATAATTAAGGTTGTAAGAGTAGCTATAAGATATCCATTAAATTTGAATTTCATATAAACAACAAATAATTTTTTAGTACAAGTATATCCCACAATTACAGGGACACACTTAAATCATATGGGACATACTGACACCAACAAATTATTCCTTGTTTATGTGAAAATTCTAACTTATCTAAGTGTCCTATAGTTCCTAATTCTCATAGTCCAAATTTATAGTCCTTTTTTCCAAAATGCTGCCCACACATACTAAATTGATTTGAGCTACCAATGGGTCCCCATCCATAGTTTCCAAAACAGTGCTGTTTCAATGGCAAAAGATCTTAACAATTAAAGCAAATTAATTGGTATAGGATAATGAGAGGGGAAATTATTTTAGGATAATGAGAGACTGGGATTTAAGAAGAAAAAGTACGCTGAAACAAGTTTAGTTTAAAAAAAAAAAAAAAGGTGATAACTGGAGAACGTGTTTTAGGGCAACAAACCAACTTTCTCCTTCCAGTTGTTATGTTACTAGACTTCAGAAATCTAAGTCCTTCAGAATCTTTCCAAACAAATTGTAAATGGAGGAAAACATAATCTGTATGAATTCGAACAAGCTATTTAATGATAAAATTATAATATGGTAACTAAAAGGGCAATTACTCTCAATTATAACAATGAACATTAATGTCTTATGAAAACTAGAAAAAGAAAGCATTAATTTCAATTATTGGTCTAGTTAGAACTACTGACTCCAGAAATTATTTAGTCTCATTATTTACCTTAATGAATACAACTAAGATTAAATACAAAATTTTAAGTTATTTGTGCAAGTACTAAAGCAATTAGCTTAAAGAAATATGTTTAAAAATCAACTTTAAAAAATTTTAATTGTGTGGCATACTTTAAGATAAAATTAAACCAAAAAATTCAGATACCACAAATATATTGGCAACTTTATAGCAATATTAGGAATACCATATTTCTAGGTATAAAAATATCCAAAGGTACTTCTTGAAAGAAGTATTAGCATACCTTTGGAAGCTCTTCAATCTGATTAGCATCTAAATAGAGCTCCTCCAAGGTTTTTTCAAAATTAAAAATCTCTTTGGGAACTTGTTCCAAGCTGCAATGAGAATAATCAAGAGTAGTGACAGTCTCCTCTTCCCCTCGTAGACAGCGACATGGCACCAACCGCACAAACAAACTTCGTTTTGTAGTCATTTTTAGACACTGTAATATTCAAATAAAAAGAAATTTAAAACATACATCTTCCAATGGTTTTTCACAAATCATTGCAATCTATCACAGTTCATATGTCACAGATGAACACTTCTCCTGCCACTATACAAGCACAATGGAACCCATTTAACATTGCTTTAATATCCGCATTCACATCTACTGGATTTCAAATTAAACTCAAGCTCTTTAGTACTTCACAAAACAATCCATGAAGTAGCCATTTACATGCTTCTTCAAAAACCATGCTTTGCGCATGCTTCTTAGTTCTCAATAAGAAAAACTCTTAATACGACAAGACTTTTACTTAATTTTACTTAATTTCTGGCTCTAAAAGTTCTGTTGTGTCTTCCTTAAGGACTTGATTAGGTGTAGTTTTGAGTAGGAAGTAGGAATGTAAAGATATTTTCAGGTCTTCCTAACCAGCCATCAGGATCAATCATCCTATAACTTTCCTATGAAAAGTCAAAGTTTCCACATGGAAATTCTCGCCTACCCCAAGTATATTTTGTTTCAATTAAATATTAGTCATATTGTTTTTCTAAAGAACTTATATGTCTCAAATGTGCTTATGGTAACACACTGGTGCATAAACTTGCTTAAATAAAGATTTCAAATTAATTGAGGGAAAGGCCAATTTTGAATCAGTGAACATAGGTTAATTCTAACTAGGCTAAGATTATATTAGCAAAGTAAGTTTATTTGCACAAGTATTAAAGCAATTCACTTGAAGAAACACAAGTTTAAAAATAGACTTTTAAAAATCTGAATTGTGCAGCATACTCTAAGATAAAATTAAACCAAAAAATTCACACAAATATACTGGCAACTTTATAGCAGTATTAGAAATAAATAAAAATGATAATTAGTGTTATCAATTCTTTCTATGTAAAACGATCCATTCTTGCTGTTGACAGAAGATGCTATTAGAGTATTAGATTATCTCTAGCCAGGACCAAGACTAGGTTAAGACAGTCAGGCCTCAGGCACAAAATATAAGGAGGTATCAAAAACTTCAGTAATCAAGGTAAGTACAATATCTCAACATAATGCTTTAAAAATACAGATTACTTAAAAAGAATCCATGTATAAACAAAATATCCAATGTTAAAATATAGACAGGATCTGATATTAGTGATTTTTTCCTTTTGCCTCAGGCTGTTAACAGGGATCTGGCAAGGCACTGCTTCTAACTCTTTTACTTCATATTATATATTTTTAAAGTGACAATGAGTAAGATATGTATTTCCCTTGCAATATTTTTAAAAATTTGACTATTCTAGGCCTGGCACAGTGGCTCATGCCTGTAATCCTAACACTGTGGGAGGCCAAGGCAGGTGGATCACTTGAGGTCAGGAGTTCAAAACCAGCCTGGCCAACATGGTGAAACCCCAACTCTACTAAAAATAAAAAAAATTGGCTGGGTGTGGCGGTGCATGCCTGTAATCTCAGCTACTTGGGAGGCTGAGCAGGATAATTGCTTGAACCTGGGAGGGAGAGGTTGCAAGGAGTTGAGATTGTGCCACTGCACTCCAGCCTGGGCGACACAGCCAGACTGTCTAAGGAAAAAAAAAAGTTTTTTGACTATAATTACTCAATCACTCTATACCAGGCACTGTGCAAAGTTCTCTAGATAAACTATAGGCAGACTCTCACTTTATCGTCACAACAACTTTTCTAAGATATGTACTGTTATCTGCATTTTTCCGTAAAGAAACTGAGTCTGTGCTCTTCTATACTGCTTCTTGATATGTAATAATATATACTTGAAGGAAGTTGCTTAAAACAATTCAAGTATCAGTAAATCTTCACTACATGCTTCTCCTTCAGAATTTACAAAAAGAAACTAAGATGTCAAACATTAAATGCTTCCATCTAAAATCTTTGTCAACAAATAACTATTCAGAAAAGTTTATTATTAACAATTTATGTTTTTAAGGCATGTTTTACCAGTAAGAATAAACAGTTCACCTAATAATTAGATTTTAATTGCCAAAAGAGAATTTAGATTTTACTTGTGTGCTTATGAGATCATTTAAAAAATTCCAAAACTGAACACAAAATTTTTTGTTCTAGACATTTTAAGAATACACTGATAATGAGTTAGGAGGACACTTAAGAATGGGAAAGAATTCTATCTGCTATGTCCAGTATGGTAGCCACTAGACACATTAGGCTAGTTAAACTTAACATTAAAAGCCAAATCAAATAAAATTAAAAACTCCTTATCAGTCACACATTTTAAATGCTTAATAGCCACTGGACAATAGTGGGGTCCAAACATATAAAAATAACATAAAGATGTAGGGCACTAGGCTGGGTGCAGTGACTCACACCTGTAATTCCAGCACTTTGGGAGGCCAAGGTGGGTGGATCACAAGGTCAGGAGATAGAGACCATCCTGGCCAACACAGTGAAACCCCATCTCTACTAAAAATGCAAAAATTAGCTGTGCGTGGTGGTGCGTGCCTGTAGTCCCAGCTACTCAGGAGGTTGAGGCAGGAGAATCGCTTGAATCCAGGAGGTGGAGGTTGCAGTGAACCGCCTGAGCTGCTGCACTCGAACCTGGCAACAGAGTGAGACTCTGTCTCAAAAAAAAATATGTAGGGCACTTGAGGTATAAGGCAATTTATAGGGTCAAGTAATTATTGATGGAGATAAAATAATTTCCAAGTTTTTTCCTGTGGAGCTAATTACGTTGCAGACAGACAAACAGAAATTATAGAACTTCTCTGAAAGGAGAACGAATTCAGAAAAGGAAGATTAGATGTTTGGTTTTAGGAATCTGCACAGAGTTTACATTTCAAAGGAAAACTTTTTATAAATAGGAAACTATAAAAAAAGCAGTTTAGACCTCAGATCAAATTCAGTGGGCCTGGTACCAATATAAAAATGAACCCCAAATCTATATAAGACTGCAAATGGAAGTGGTATAGACTAAAAACTGCTGACTGATAAGAAAGGATAAGAACCTTAATTCTTGAGGGCAGAGGAGGAAAGTAACATATGAAAGGGAAGTAAATGAGTAACAGTACCCAAAGACTAATTCTCCTTTACACAATAATACAAGGAAGTAATCAAAAAGGAAGAAAGCCCCGCCTGATCAGAACTGAACTGATCAACATGGGAACTGTTAATTAGAATTTCAGGTATGTCATAAGGAAGAGCCACTTTTTTTTTTTTTTTTTTTATTCTCATGGTTCACTGATGCCTTTTATTTTGAGCACAAAACCACTGGTGATCTTGCCTGTGGCCACCCCGGAGATGACCCTGGAGGTTCATATTGCTCCAGACACTTGGTGGAAAGCGAGGTGAGAAAAACAACGATTTGGGCCAATTACATGACTGCAAAGCTAGGGCTGCCAAGAGGGCTCCAGGGAGCTTGGCTTCTGTAGAAGTTCTAAGCAAGCAGTGTGAACTCCATGGTGGTGGGCGAGGGGAGCTAACTAGCAGGGACCCCTGCAAGTGTTGGTTGGGGGGGCCTGGAGCTGCCCGAGCTGACAAGAGGGGAGGAGTCTAATTAGCCAACAGGCGACTGAAGGGCTGGCCTGCCCACTGCTTACTTGGCCAGGGGGTTTCTGAATTTCCTGCCAGCAAACTTGGCCTTGCTGCCCAGCTCCTCTTCAATTCTGAGGAGCTGGTTGTACTTGGCCAAGCGCTTAGATCGGCAAGGGGCACCAGTTTTGATCTGGCCAGTGCACAGCCCCACCACCAGGTTGGTGATGAAGGTATCTTCAGTCTCCCCAGAACGATGAGACACCATGACGCCCCAACTATTGGCCTGGGCCAACTTGCACGCCTGCAGGGACTCGGTCACGGAGCCGATCTGGTTCACTTTGAGCAGCAGGCAGTTGCAGGACTTCTCATTTGCAGCCTTGGCAATCCTTTTCGGGTTGGTCACTGTGAGATCATCCCCCACCACCTGGATTCCTGCACTGGCTGTGAACTTCTGTCATGCTCCCCAGTCATCCTGGTCAAAGGGATCTTCGATAGACACCACTGGGTAGTCCTTGATGAAGGACTTGTACAGGTCGGCCAGCTGGTCAGGTGAGATGTACCTGCTGGGATCATCAGGAGACTTGAAGTCCGGTCATACTTCCCAGACCTGTAGAACTCGGAGGCTGCCACATCCATGCCGATGACCACTTTATCGGTGTAGCCAGCTTTCCCAATTGCAGTCTTCAGCAGCTCCAGGCCTTCTTTATTCTCTAGGATGTTGGGAGCAAACCCGCCTTCATCGCACATTAGTGGCATCTTTCCCGTATTTCTCCTTGATGACGTTCTTCAGGTTGTGGTAAACCTCCACTCCGATGCGCATGGCTTCCCTGAAGTTTGCGGCACCCACTGGGAGGATCATGAACTCCTGCATGGCCAGCTTGTTACCAGCATGGGAACCGCCATTGATGACGTTGAATGCCGGCACTGGTAGGATGACTTCGGAGTTGCCAGCCAAGTCGGCGATGTGGCGGTACAGAGGGACCCCCTTCTCAACAGCACCGGCTTTGCAGACAGCGAGGGACACCCCCAGAATGGCATTTGCACCAAACTTAAGATTTATTTTCTGTTCCATCCATCTCGATCATCAATTTGTCAATCTTCTCTTGTTCTGTGACATTCAGTGTCTTGCTAACCAGGGCAGGCGCAATAGTTTTATTGATGTGCTCAACAGCCTTTGAGACACCCTTCCCCATATAGCGAGTCTTATCATTGTCCCGGAGCTCTAGGGCCTCATAGATACCAGTTGAAGCACCACTAGGCACAGCAGCTCTGAAGAGACCTTTTGCGGTGAAGAGATCAACCTCGACAGTGGGATTCCCATGAGAGTCAAAGATCTCCCTGGCATGGATCTTGAGAATAGATATGGTGGATTTCTAACCTCCGGGTCTTGTCGCCTAGGAGAGAAGCGGAGAGTGCTGCAGACACCGAGATGAGCATTAAGCAGAAGACGTCTGCATGCTGCGGGTCCTCACAGCTTCTCAAGGAAGAGCCACTTTATAAATCAGAAGTAACACTGTAGACCTTAAGAGTCTTCTAATCAGAATGGAGAAGAAAGTATTGACCCAGAAAATGAGCACAGTAATAAGCTTTTTAAAAAAAAAAAAAAGGCCGGGCACAGTGACTCAGGGCCTTTAGGAGGCCCAGGTGGGCGGATCATGAGGTCAGGAGATCGAGACCATCCTGGCTAACAGGGTTAAACACCGTCTCTACTAAAAATACAAAAAATTTGCCAGGCATGGTGGCATGCGCCTGTAGTCCCAGCTACTCGAGAGGCTGAGGCAGGAGAATCACTTGAACCCAGGAGGCGGGGGTTGCAGTGAGCCAAGATTTCGCCACTGGACTCCAGCCTGGGTGACAGAGAGAGACTCCATCTCAAAAACAAACAAACAAAACAAACAACAACAAAAAACAGGGTCACACTCTTGTCCACGCTGGAGTGCAAAGGTGCGATCTTGGCTCACTGCTCCCTCAACCTCCCAGGCTCAAGGGATCTTCCCACTTCAACCTCCAGAGGCCACCACTATGCCACCAGCCACCATGGCCAGCTACTTTTTGTAATTTCTGCAGAGATGGGAATTTCACCATTTTGGCCAGGTTGGTCTTGACCTCCTGGACTCAAGTGATCCTCTCACATTGATCTCCCAAAGTGCTGGGATTACAGGCATGTGTCCCTGCAACTGGCTTCTGAAAACTTTCTACCAAAAGAAATCAAAGTTACTTACCAATGGGTTGAATTTATCTCCCTGATGTTTCTTAATTGAGCCAACATTCTGTGGAAAGCAAAAAGAGAACCAAAATTAACAATAAAAATGGATCTTTATAACTTTAAGAAACATCTCTTTTAATTTCTAATTTATATAAAAGTTAAACTTCTCAAAAATTTAAATTTGTAAACTGAAAATACTTAAGACCAAATAGTCAAACCAAAATAGTAGCCTCTTAAAACACACACACACAAGTGTATGCACACACATACACAAATTTCCTAGCTTCTAAATAAATGATTAGCTTTTTTTTTTTTTAAGAGACTGGTTCTCACTCTATCACGTAGGCTGGAGTCCAGTGGCACAGACATGGCTCACTGCAGCCTCAAACTCCTGGACTCAATCAATCCTCCCACCTCAGCCTCCTAAGTAGCCTCCTAAGTAGTACAGGTGCATACCACTATAACAGTGAACCCCAAGTTTCTCTTCAAAGAATTAGTATGTGTGTTCAGCTCTCTTATTCTTTAATTCTCTATTTTAAAGTTTAACTTCCTTGTAATTCCAGTAAACAACCTTCTCCACTGGTTCTAATCAGTAGTTCATATCTGTTCCCCTTGCCCCGGGCTCCATCCTGACTCATCCCAGCCATCTGCTCCTGTCACCTTCTTTGACCTAGGTCACCCCTGGCTACTTGCTCTGATTCGTCCATAACCATCCTTCACCAACACACCCACCCAGCCACTCCAGCTTGGATCCCTGCTCTTTTTAAAATAGCCAATTGGAATTAGTCTAGCTTGTGCAGTCTAACCCTAGCCAATAGGGAAACAACACAGCAGTAGGGGAAAACACCTCCCCTACCTCCCTTACCCCTTTTCAGGCATAAGTACCCTTTCCCTCCTTGTCCAAGCGTGTGGCTACCATTGCTCCATCCATACATCCATATGCCGCACCCTTCTATAGAAGTAAACTGCCTTGCTAAGAGGATTTATATTGGAGTGCTATTTCTTTCTCTCTCTTTTTTTTTTAGATGGAGTTTCGCTCTTGTTGCCCAGGCTGGAGTGCAATGGCACGATCTGGGCTCACCACAACCTATGCCTCCCAGGTTCAAGCAATTCTCCTGCCTCATCCTCCCAAGTAGCTGGGATTGTAGGCATGTGCTGCCACACCCGGCTATATTTTTTTTTTTTCATTTTTTAGTATAGATAGAGTTTCTCCATGTTGGTCAGGCTGGTCTTGAACTCCTGACCTCAGGCGATCCGCCCGACTTGGCCTCCCAAAGTGTTAGGATTATGGGCATGAGCCACCACACTCAGCCTTCCGAGTGCTGTTTCTTTTACGGCATCAAAATTTTACTTATAACACCACCCCACCTTGCTAATTTTAAAACTTTTTGTAGAGATAGGGTCTCACTATGTTGGCTATGCTGGTCTTTAACTCCTGCACTTAAGCAATTCTCCCACCTCAATCTCCCAAAGTGCTGGGATTACAAACATGAGCCACTGCACCTAGCCAAATGGCTATCTTTATAGTGAACAGTCTTCATACATTTATAAACTATTGAGAGCCCTCATTATATAAACACTCTCTCACCTACCATTAAAATGCCATTAATTTGAACTTACTGAGAAATAAATAATTTTCCATGCAAATAAACTTGAATGGCCAATTATATTTTGGTAATTTTTCATAGTTCTATGTGGCAGACACTGTTAATGATGCTTATAGGACTTATTTTCCCTTCTAAGACTTTTTTTTTTTTTTGAGTCGTATCACTCTGTTGCCCGGACTGAAGTGCAGTAGTACAATCTCAGCTCACCGAAACCTCTGCTTCCTGGGTTCAAGCAATTCTCCTGCCTCAGCCTCCCAAGTAGCTGGGATTACAGGTGTATGCCACAACACCTGGCTAATTTTTTTTTTGTATTTTTAGTAGAGACGGGGTTTTGTCATGTTGGCTGGGCTGGTCTCAAACTAAGCTCAAGCGATCCACCTGCCTTGGTCTCCCAAAGTGCTGGGATTACAGGTGTGAGCCACTATGCCTTTTTTTTTTTTTTTGGAGACAGGGTCTTGGTCTGCTGCCCAGGCTGGAATGCAGTGCCAAAATCATGGCTCACTTCAGCCTCGACCTCCTGGGATCAAACGATCCTCCTGCCTTAGCCTTCTGAGGGGCTGGGACCATAAGTGTGCACCCAAACCACACTCAGCTACCTTTTTTTTTTAGAGACAGGGTCTCACCATGCTGCCCAAGCTGGTCTCAAACGCCTGAGCTCAATAAATTCTCCCACCCACCTCAGCCTCCCAAAGTGCTGGGTTTACAGGTGTGACCTGGCTTTTCCTTTTAAGACTCTGGATTATTCAGGGCAGTAAGGGGCCCAGCTCAATTACTACTTTTGAGCTTCCCGTGCCTGGAGGGATCAATAAGAAATGGATAACACAGTGAATATCAAAGACTTATATTCTGAAGTCTGCTTTGGGGGTGAAATGGGGATTAATCCTGGGAAAACATTTGCTTTCCTGATAAATCAGAGCAAATATATCTGATACCACCACTCTCTCATTTTTCTAGCCTTGCATCTGTACACAGTGTCTAATACTGCAACAAGCAACCTATTACTGTAAGTCAACAAGCATGAGGATTAATAAATCAGCCAATAAATAAGACTAACAGAAGAAAAAGACAAAACAAGCTGTGGTCTCAAATAGCACTGCTGCAGCTGAATTAATGCTAACTATTCCCTGCTTCTGGATTTCCTGGTATGTGGGAAAACTAATTCCCTATTTGCTTAAACTATTGTTATGTTTTCTGTTCTTGCAGCCAACACGTTCCAAAGTAAGACAGCCTAAAATATGAAACAATAGTCTTAATAAAAAGTGTATACATAATAATCTTTTTCTTAAAAACTCTGAGTGATATTCATTTATATGTTTCAAAATTACAGAACTAACCTAAATACATCAAACTCTTTGTCGCTATGCCAAATGGTATAGGACTAAGTTGTTTAACATTCTCTTAAGAATTCTACATATTCTGCATGCCACAAAAAAAGTTCTGTGTACAGCAAGCAAAGTTGGCCACCAAATCTTCTGTCACTCCTATATACTCCCAGATATGACAGTCTGGTAGAACGAAGCTGCCAGTAAACTGAAATGGAAGAAGACCATGGTAGGAGCAGGGCAGAGAGAAAAAGAGATGCTTATATTCAAAAACTTTAGTTTGAAATACTTGAAAGGTATGTGAGTAGGACACTGTGTAAGCAGCTGGATACAGGCATTCAGAGATGTGGGAAGAGATCCAAGCTGAGGATATAAATTTAAAAGTCATCTGCTTATAGATGATATTTAAAGCAATGAAATTAGATGAGATCATCAAGGCATGAGGGCAGACAAAAAAGAGAATAGGTTCAATGGTTGAGCCCCAAAACATTATAAAATTAAGGGTTAGAAAGAAGAGAGAGGACCAGCAAAGGAAACTGAAGAGAAGCAGTCAAGTGAGGCAAAAGAAACACCTCCCTCCCGAGAAAAAAAAAAAAGGCTGCTATTCTAAAGGCCAAGTGGAAAAAATGTTTTAGGAGGAAAAAGTTACAAACTCTGTTAATAAGGACTTAGTATGGCCACTGTGTATGAACATAAAAGTGACTAGTTATCTTGACAAGATCACCTCTAGTGGTGGGGCAAAACACTATTTGGAGGAAATTCAAGAAAGAACAGAAGAACTAGAATAGACAACTCAGGTAGTTTTGCTAATTAAACATTGGAAAAATAAAGTAGTTGCTAGTGCCAAATATGCATGAAAAGATACAACAGTGGATTTGTAGGCAGATAGAAATAATTTAGTAGAGAAAAAGAAGAGCTCATGGATATTTTCATAAGTAGGATCTGGGCAACCATTCATAGACTGCCCTAGTAAATCCTGCCATCAATTTAAAAAGCTGCTCATGAGGAAGAAAATAAAACAAAACTTGGCTGTAATTATAAGTAGCTAGTTAATATTCACTCATTATTTTTGAAAAATATAGATACTATTATCCTCTCCCTAGAAATGCTGATTTAGTAAATTAGATACAGTATAAAACTCAAAAGTCTTTGTCTTAAAATGTCATGTGATTCCTTTTTCCAACACAGTTTCAATAATAATCAATGCATGGTCAATCTTATTTCATCCATATTATAGCCACTATCATTTAGCTCTCCCCATCCTCTACTGGAGATTATTTTGAAAAAAGTCTCAGTTTGAGAATTACTATAAAAATTGAGAAGTAAAATCACTATAAATGTTTTTTTTTTAATACAGAACATTTTCTATTTACCTAAAGAGATCACAAGATATACCTGGCTATATTTTTTTCAGTGAGCAATAAAGTTTAATTAACCAGTACTATGAGGTCACCTTCATGGACTAGCATCCTTTCTGTGAGCTGAAGAGCTGAACAAGCAGAAGTATAGGCCAAAACCATCTCTTCATGCTCCCCACTGTGCAGATGGACTCACTGAGGCTCCAGCGTACACTGCTTGCTCAGCACTTTATCTATTTTGGGTCAAAGTGTCAGCAGAACTGATAGCCACAGGGCATCCAAGTCCACGCCAGACCCTGCTCCCTCTGCAACCATCTCTTAAACCAAGCCTGATGATGGTGAGTTTCCAATCACGGGCTGCACTGAGAGTGTCAGAGGCCTGGCTGGGCACGCAGCCTGGTTGGTGTGGAGTGAAGGGGATTTGAGAATGACATCTATAAATGTCAATCAGATAAAATTGGTTGACAGTTGTGTTCAAATCTTCTATATTCTAACCAATTTATGGCTTTTTCTGTAAGTTACCAAAAAGTATAGGCATCTCTTAACTATAGTTGTAAATTTGTCTGTTCTTTTGTCTATTTTTATTTCATGTAGGAGGTCCATTATAAAGTCAATAGATATTTTTTAGGGCTCATATCTTCTTGGTAAATATATCCTTTTAACATTATGAGGGCTTTTTTTCCTGCTAGTAATCCCTGTCTTTTAATATTTTGTCTGATGTCACTATAGCCATAAAAGCTTTTTTTGATTAGTGTTAATATGATACATATTTCCATC